TGTAGAAAACCCTCACCTTTTTATTTGCAACGCAGCTGAACAGCATAAAAACATTCGAGCATCTGTTCATAGAATTTTGAAGTTAATCAAATTTCATCCATATAAAGTTCACTTAGTTCAGAAACTCAATAAAGACGATGTTAATCGTCGAATAGAATTTGGTGATGATGGATTTGCACGACAGGGACCAAGATTTTTCTTACAATGTAGTATTTTCTGATAAAAAAACTTTCATATTAAAGGGCAAAGTAAATAGACACAACTGCCGATATTGGAGTGACACCAATCCACGCTGGATGCAAAATCTCTTACTCAATATTCACAGAAATGAATATCTGGGCAGGTATTTTGAATAATTCAATAGTGGTTCTTTTTTTATTGATGGTAATTTGAACGCCGCAAAATATCTGGATATGTTAAGGAATCAAATAATACCAATGATAAGAGAGATTGCAGGTGATTTGAACAAATTTGATTTCAACAAGATGGAGCAGGACCTCATTATGCCATAATTGTTCGCGACTTTCTTAATAATTAGTTTTATCATCAATGGATTGGAAGAAAAGGTGAAATCAAATGGCTTCCTCGATCCCCAGATCTGACACCTCTTGGCTATTTCCTGTGGGGTTATCTGAAGAGTAGAATCTATGAAACAAAGCCAAATGATATATATGAGTTCCGAAATCATATTATCCGAGAGTGTATCTTGATGAACCAAGATATGATAAGATCTGTCTCTAATTTTTATTAATGTACGACATTTTTCAAGAGGTTGGAGGCCTTCAATTTGAACATTTAATCCACTATATACATCTCCTTCTTTTTGGCCACAGAGCCAAACGCGATGTTATTGCGAAAATTAACCAAAAAATTAAGGAATCTGAGAATCTGTATCTTATGGTTGGGATCTTAAGAATTCTCCTTGTTCCTCTTCTAACTTCCCCTGTACAGAAATAGGCGAGAAAAATATTGGTCCGAAAGTTGGCTAAATCGGGAATCGAACCCGAGACCTTCCGCTTGCCGGGCGAATGCTCTTCCAACTGAGCTATTCAGACACTTACGAAACAATATTTTTCTCTTATTCTATCTAAGCATTTAAGCTTATTTCTATCTAAGCATTAAAAAAAGTACTAATTATAAAAAAAGAAGGGCTATAAGAGCTATTAAACGTAAGACAATTAACAGTTGATATTAAGAAAATTCAAACCAAATAATAATTACATAAGAAGTCATTATTTGCGAACGTTTCGGCTGACATTTCAAGCCTTCTTCAGCGCAATACATAGATTTTTAATTATAAATTAAACCTTACAAATTAAATTTAAAAAGAGATTGTAACATTAAATATTAAAAACGGTTATTGACAATGTCAAGAAAACATATAAATATTGAAACAGTTATTGATCTCGTTACATATGTTGTTAAAAAAGTTATCGAGTATAACACCAATAATACTGATACATACTGAGTTCGAGCGACCGTACAATACAATTATTTATAAGTATTACCCTTCTTGATTTGATGGTCAAGGAAAATATCTTGATTCAATCTTTATGATGTAATGATGTTAAGTATTTGATTGAGATCTATATAAACAATATCTAATTATACATTATGATCTACTAAGAAAAATGCACTATACACTCACTCCAACAAATTGGTGATTTTTTATATAGATGTTTCAAGTATCAGGACTGACATTTTTTTAGATGTTTCAAGTGAAGACAAAACAAAACGTCTAACCATTACGACTCTCACATATCAAATGAGACAGTAACTCAGTGTTTAACCCCTGTATATCAAGGCTTGTTTTTTGATCCTGATAATTTTAGTAGAGACTCTAAAATGTTATTATCTATCAGGTAAATATTCAGTGTCATTTTGTAGATTCAATCCATTACATAGTCTTTTTATATATAACATTTCCGATATTAATCTATTATTATAATACGGTTCTTTATCTAAAATTTTTACTTCATCCCAGTCAAAATCATGGAATGTCAAAATCAGAACTCAATTCTATGATCAGTAACAACTGACTTATTAGAACAATTTCTATTGATATGTTTTTTATGCTCCAATATCCTAGTATTCAATTTTCTGCTAGTCTGACCCACATATGAGGCATCACAATTTTTACAGTTGATTTTATATACTACATTAGTATTCGCTCTTTTAGATATTTTATCTTTATGTATTTTTATAAATTTCCCTAATTTATTCATACTTACATAAGAGAGTCTAGTATCAGCTTTTTTGTGATATCTATCAATTTTTCAGTAATATTCGATAAGTAAGGTATAGTAAAAAACAAAGTAGCGTCATTTGACTGTCATAGATTATTATTTGAAATATTACTTCTGTTATATCCCCCAAAGATATACAATAGATATAACTATTAAAAGTTAACTAATATTAAGAAATGGGTACTCGTATTGCATCCGCAATTACGACAGACACTGACCGCGTTAAAAAGCGCATACGATGCGAGGTATACGCGAAATCAGAATTACGACAGATAATGACCGCGTTAAAAACGCATACAATGCGAGATATACGCGGAACAGAAATTGGTCAACGTGCAAGCAAAGCAGAAGGACTTTGAATCTGCTTCGCTTGCACCTAGATTCTCGACCGGGGAAACCTGTTGCCAGGCACCCCTTCCGATCGGGAAAAACTCCAAAAAACAACGATATAAAAAGAGAGTAGAGACGCGACAACTCGCTCAGTCGCAGACACAAATAATCGCTCTAACCACGATCTCGCTAACCGCGCGCGCACTTAGCATCGACTCGCAGTTGTGCGCGATACGCGGAGTAATATAAAGTCAGTGCCGCACACTCGTAAAGCTTCAGTGTATTGATAGTGAAATAAAATAAAGACCAAGGTTGAAGTTGAATAAAGAATTTTAATACAAAAAGTGTAGTGCATTTCTCTACAAACACCCGACAAGTCCTGACGCCCCGGATTCCCATCCCAATTTGGCGCGACCCTTAAGTGTCTCTCCCGAGGCACACAACACTTCTAGAATAAATTATGGTTTTTAGTCTATAGTTAATTGCGTCAAAAATGAATTTTATTGGATAATTATTATTGATTAGGATGTTAATAATCATTTCAATATTTTTTTGATGAAAAGAAGGATGCGATAATAAAAATACTCTGTCAATCAAACCAAAAATTGTGCCTCTTTTTTTGACATATAGAGTGTTGCGAAAGAAAATTCAAATACCTTCCAGAAAACGTAGGCTTTTTAACACACAGCTAATCACAAATAATTTCGTTATTTTTTGATATCGTATTAATTTGATGTCCAAGAAACTATGATTTTTTTCTTTTTCAATTGTGAATTGTATACGTGGGTGTAATGAATTAAAAGTATTTAACGTGTGATCAATATAATTGTTAGGTACTGACAAAATAAGGTCATCTACATATCTATGGAAAAATACCGGTTTATAGTTAAGTAAATTTAGAGCTTTGGATTTCAAATCTTGTAACACTATATTAGCCACTATAGGAGAAAGAGGGGAACTCATCGGGGTTTCAAAGATTTGTTTGTATATAGCATTGTTAAATGTAAAAAATGTAGAGTTTAATATTAGATTAATACCATTCATAAATTCCAATTTACTAAGACTGCAATTATTAGTAATGAATTACCATCTCTCCAATAAACCTTCCAATACTAAGTCTATGGGTATATTGGTAAAAAATGTATTGTTTCGTAAGTGTCTGAATAGCTCAGTTGGAAGAACATTCGCCCGGCAAGCGGAAGGTCTCGGGTTCGATTCCCGATTTAGAATTCTTGAGATCCCAACTGTAGGATACAGATTCTCAGAATCCTTAATTTTCTTGCTTAATTTTTGCAATAACATCGCGTTTGGCTCTGTGGCCGAGAAGAAAGAGGTGTATATCGTGTTTATATTAAAAGAGCCGATCTAATATTCTTATTATTTAATCCACTAGTTTTCCATTCACACATAAGTGAGAATCCAAATCCAGAAGCAATCTCCATCTTGCATCCATTGGCCAAATAACTTAGATCTTGCCTTCAATGGCTGGATCATTACGATGTTGCCTTTAGTGGCTGGATCATTACTATTTTGCCTTCAATGACTGGATCATTACGATCTTGCCTTCAGTGGCTGGATTTGGGGTCTGAAAATCCAGCTTGCTATGCAGGCAATGAATACCTAATATTTTGTTCGATCAAGTGAACATTAGGAACGTATTCCATTACTGCACGGTGCTCTCAAATAATTATTTGACCTTCAAATAACCGCTACAGTTTATTTCAACCTTCATAGATACATATTTGAACGTGAAATTTTCCGCTCTTTCAGAATTTGAGATCAAAAATAGGGATTTCTATTTAATAAACATGAGTTGACTTTCAAATGATTTTGAAAATGGAGATCAAGGTCAAAGTCAAGGTCATCATAAGGTAGCTTACTTAAATTCTCACAACTTTTATTCAGGTCATTTTTCTTGAAACTTTAATACTGAAGAATTATTAGGATGGTCCGTTACTTTTGGGACACCCTGTATATATAACACTTGCAAATCATTAGTTTCTAGTTTTCGTGGCCTAGAGTGTGATTGACAATTAACATCAAAATTACTATTTGCAAGTATTATGGATAAAACATCTTTACAAAGAGCAGAATAAATTAATTTATGTATACATGTATACTTATAGCAACGTTTTTTTCTTATTGAAATTTATATCAAATGTACATATCAAATATAAAACTTTTGGTCACTTATCTTGTTTTGTGAAATGATGTTTAATATTAATTATATTTAACGTTTTAAAAATGTTAATGTTAACATTTCAAAAACACAAAAAGGTAAAAATTTATTAATATCTTAAAGAATTGTATCAATATGTAGAAAGACTAAAACTTTTGTGTAGAATACCCCTAATATATTTTTACATGCATACTCACTCGTGTGTGTATAAAGTTTTATTATAAATAAAATATAATGCAACTTACCATTTGTATTTTAGTTAAAACAGGTTTAAGAAAAGATATCATTTGTTGATATTTCGGGCCCCATGCAGAAACAAAATAATATACATACATAATTACATGTATCACACAATTAAATAGAGAAATTAATAACACTCTCTCGTCCAAAATGTATTTTAAATAAATCCAAGCAAAAAAAATAATAGAGACATGATGATAGACGTGCAAAGTGGAAACTTGATCCTGTTTCTTCCTCAACACAAATATACAAGTTTCTGTCAGATCGAATATTTTTAATACAAATAGCCACCATATAGAATTGAACATCTGAAACTCAACTTTGATAAAACCAAGCACACGAAGTGCTATTAAAAAAAATAAAAAAATATTGTCTATATATATATATATATATATATATATATACATAAACAATATTTTTTACATACATAGACAATATATATATATATATATATATATATATATACATAAACAATATTTTTTTACATACATAGACAATATATATATATATATATATATATATATATATATATATAGAATGTGAATAATAACAAACAACAGCAAATATCCCACAGTAATTATCATAAAAATATCTGATTAAAAACGGAAATAAAAGAATTTTAAGTTAGTATAATATTAAATGAAAAAAATTATTTAATTGTGTACTAATTTGTGTAATAATGATCTGCTCAATAATTATCGATAATATAATTATATTAATATAATACTTTTCTAAAACACTGTCTTAATTTTTTCTCTTTGAAACTGAAATTATTACGACTTATAAAATTTATATATTTGTAATTTGCAAACATTTAATGTGTAAGTAGAGAAATAATATGAGGGCTCTATTGAACCAAAAGTTTGATCTTAGAACTTCTTTTTTAAACTGCTGACAATTTCTTGAGTAGAATATAAGGCCACTCATAATCTTATATTCTATATTATCATATTTACTCTACTCGCTTTCACATTGTCTATTTATATTTAAAAATTATTTATAACTTATTTTTCGAATAGACAATACATAATTTATAACTAATTATAATATTACATATAATAAAAATATACTTTAAGCGTATTGGGAGAATGCGGAAATGGCTCTGAACACAATACGCCATATTTTGAAAACCAGCCAAAAGATATATGTTCTTGTACCATCCATAAGTTTGCTAAAATTTGTATAAAGTTATAAAGCAACATCAAGGTTTTCAATTTATATGGCGATCGACCTATCATGTAGTGGGGTCCAATATAATAAATAAAATACAAATATCCAAAAATTATCATCATTAATGGAAATGGTGAAGATATTAATGGCCATTCACGACTTAACGGAGCTGTAAAAAATGCAACAGTTTTTGAAATAAAATATACAGTGTGCACAAATCCTATATAATAAAATTTAAATTAAAATAAATTGTTATAAATGGCTTTCAACATAAAAAGATAGAGTAAATAGCAATAGTAGCCTAGCACCGTAAGTCAGGTGCAAAAAATCTTGAAAAAATGACAATCTTATCTAAAGACACACTTATCTAAAGTTAACATCGCGAAATTTATTATTCATACAAGTAGACAAATGTTTCACACATAATCTCAACAATAATAGCGGACATTTCGAATCCCTCTTAGAGCCATCTTCAGCGTTAATAAAGTCTAAATCATCCCGCATAAACAAAAATTAGAAGATAGAAAATAAAGGTTTATATCTATGCCCAGACAAATTTTCCATTAAAAAATCCATAACAAATCCGCCAATCCGATAGAGTAATTAAAATCAAATCTCCCCCAGCAAACACAATATATAAATGTTATATACTCAAGCATGTTACATGTAACGTATATGTTAGTTGTAATTTCCCACTCATAGATGTAACATTTTTAATATTACATATATTACATTGTAGTTATATTGTCATTATATCCCAAGATAGCACTGACTTATCAATACATCAATGTGCTATTTGGTATATAATTACAATATAACTACAACGTAATATATGTTATATTAAAATGTTACATCTATGAGTGGGAAATTACAACTAACATGGATGTTACATGTAACGTACACGTTATATTACCTGTTATATTCCGTTTTATTGTAGCAATGTAACAATTATATATCGGTGTTTGCTGGGCTAATTGTCGTCATCATAGCGCCCACACGATATTAAATTCCTTCAAGGTTGATAAGCCAAGAGCAGAAAAACACAAGACACCATAATAAAAAACTCATTAGAGTCGTATCATAAAATTTAAGAAATATAAGCAATAAATTATAATTGTAGTTACTCAAGAAGTCAAAGTAAATAACTAATTTTTAATATAGGAATGATATATTTAATTCGACCCAAACTAGCCAAGAAAATTTTTATTTTATTTCCACAACGTTTCGACAATCTGTTTTTGATCCTTTTCAAGTGAAAAACTAGAATGGTACAATTAATTAAAATTAATAAACATTTTTGATGTTGTTCGCGAACGCGCTGCGTGAGGAATCGCGCGACACGACAAAGGATGAGTCACTTGTAGTATAAAGAAACCTTTAATATACGAATCTTTACTAAAATATAATGTACAATATTTAACAATTACACGCACAAAATTAACATAAAGTTTAATTAGTTTCAGCGGAGAAATCAAATCAAAAGAAAGAGCGGCGGTTGTCGATATAAATGTTCTGCGGTTTTTTTGAGGCGGTTTTGACTTACGCGTACACGGCGGAAAGCGATAAGGCACCTACGCCGGGGTGAGCTCCTCTTTTATAAATTTTGGAGCGGAGCCCACCTTCGCGTGAAGCGCCAATAATTTGCGTGATTTTTAAAGTAGCGCATGCTCAATAGCATGTAATTATTCGGCGGAACGGTTGCGACACCGTTACTTGTTTGTATATTTGAGCGTTTTTTATGTGACAGCTGTAAATTTACGACTTCTTTTTATTCTATTATACAAAACAAACGTGACTTTATTATTACTGATCGATGATTCCAGAATTTACCAAATAACTATTTTCGAGATCGAATTTTGTATAAATTGAAAATCCTAATAACGTTTTACTGCCGAGGTAATTAACAGACGATAAGATTTATTTTGCATCTCAAACATCCCGCCCGCCTTGGCGCAACGTGACAAAAGGTTGATGATGTTTCCGGCGCGGATCACATTCCGATAGCGGTTGATGGTGGGGCGGGCTCGTGTCGGCGCGGCGAAATTCACGTGATGATCGCGTGTTGTGAGTCGATCAGCTGAGTCGACGAAAACACGTGGTGATCACGTGTTGCGAATCGATCAGCTGAAACGGCGAAAGCATGTGGCAGATGTGAACGGCGAGTGAACGATGCAGTAAACGGTGAAAACGAGACAAGTGTTATAGTGAGGTGATGAGTGAAATGAGTGAAGTGTGACAGTTGATATGGTGCATGACGTGATGATCGTGTAGTGAGTGATGCTATGTGTCAACGTGCGGTGTAGGAACGTCGTTCACGCCCGGAAGAAACACGAGCTTGACGAGTGGGCGCACGAGCTCGGACGTGGCCGTTCGGATCGTCACTACGCGTGTAACTCCATCGTCCCCGGGGTGCAAACGCGATATGCGAGCGAGGGGCCAGCGGTTCGGGGGGGTGATCTCGGAGCGAACGAGGCAGAGATCGCCGACGTGGGGTGCAGGTGCATCCTTGAGCCACTTGGTGCGTGGGGCGAGTCCGTGCATGTATTCGGATGACCATCGCTGCCAGAAGTGATCCCTCATCCGCTGCAGATGACGCCAACGTGACAAGGTGGACACCGTCTGCTCTGTCAATGACGGTTCTGACAAGGCGAGGAGCGGTGTCCCGATGAGGAAGTGACCGGGGGTCAGCGCCGAGACGTCCTCTGGATCATCTGAGAGTGCCTGCAACGGACGTGAGTTAAGACAGGCTTCAATTTGTGCAAGGAGTGTGCTCAACTCCTCGAACGTGAGGGTGGTCGCGCCGATCACCCGACGGAGGTGGAACTTGGTCGACTTTACGGCGGCCTCCCATAAACCACCAAAATGCGGGGCCGCTGGCGGGTTGAAGTGCCAGCGGATTCCTTGAGCGGTGGCGGCAAGGATGACACTTTGACCTTCGGCTGTCGCTGCGTTGAAGAGACCTCGCAGCGTCCGATCTGCTCCGATGAAAGTCGTGCCACAGTCGCTGTAGATCTCAGCACACAGGCCCCTGCGGGAGACGAAGCGGCGCAGAGCGGCGATGAAGGCCTCCGAGGTGTAGTCTGAGACGACTTCTAAGTGAACGGCCTTTGACCAGAAGCAGACGAAGACTGCGATGTACCCCTTGTGCGCACGGTGTCCACGCCCCTTGCTGGTCCGGAGGAGGATTGGTCCCGCGTAGTCCAAGCCGGTGCTGAGGAACGGTCGAGTTGGCGTTACTCGCTCCCGAGGAAGGTTACCCATCGGAGGCTGTGGTGTGGCGGCGCGCCATCGAGTGCAGGTTATGCATCGGTGTAGCTGCTGTTTGACGGTGGTCCTTCCTCGAGGCACCCAGAAGCGCAGGCGGAGCAGGCCGAGAGTCAGTTGCACACCTCCGTGCAGCGTCCGTCGGTGGCAGGAATCGATCACCAGCCGAGTCAACCATGATGCCGCCGGGATGATCATTGGATGTTTCTCGTCGAGTGGTAGCTGAGCATGTTTGAGACGTCCTCCGACGCGCAGCACGCCTTGATCATCGAGGACCGGACTCAACATCGCTAGGTGGCTTCGTGGTGGGCTAGTGCGTCCAGCAGAAGCCGCAGCTACGTCCGTAGGAAAGTGGAGCGCCTGCACCACTCGCAGCCATCGAAATAAGGCGACGTCCAGCTCGTCCGGATGCAATGGACGGCCAGGTATGGCGTCACGTCTCGCCTGATTGAGCCATCGCCGACACCATGCCGTAACCCGCAGCAGCCTGTGCAGCGTTGGAAACCGGAGGAGGAGGTCAGGTTCTGCCGAGACCGGTGCCTTGATTACCAGACTGGTGGCTCGCTGCTCCGGGAGGTCATCCTCTGGGACGTCGATGTTTGAACCCGGCCATGCAGTCTCGTCTCCTGAGAGCCAGGTAGGTCCTGTCCACCACAACTCATGATTGATTAATTCAGCAGGAGTAACACCGCGCGATGCGCAATCTGCAGGATTCTCTCGTCCAGCGACGTGTCTCCATTGAGCGTCTGGAAGCAGGGTCTGGATCTGAGATACTCGGTTGGCGACGAAGGTTTTCCAACGGGTGCTGTGTCCGCGGATCCAATGAAGTGTGACCCTTGAATCTGACCACAGATGCACCGGCGTCGTTGTCAAACCGAGAGTAGCGCGCACGTGGAGCATGAGCGTGGTAAGTAGAGCTGCTGCACAGAGTTCCAAGCGAGGTAACGACACCTGCTTGACAGGCGCGACCTTCGATTTTGCCATCAATAGGTTGATTGACGTTTTTTCTGTTGCAGCGTTGCGGATGTACACCACGGCGGCGTATCCTCGCTCTGAAGCGTCGGCAAACCCATGGAGCTGCAGTTGCGAATGGTCGTCTCCGGTGTTGAGCCAGCGAGTTACACGGATGTTATCCAATAGAGGAAGCTGATCCAACAACTGCCTCCAGCGGTGTGCGTCCTGATCAGGCAGCGGAGAGTCCCAATCCAGCCGTTGAAGCCACGTCGTCTGGATCAGAATTTTGGCTCTGATGACGACAGGCGCGAGCCAACCCATCGGATCAAAGAGCCGAGCCGTTTCGGCTAGAACTCGTCGCTTTGTGAGATCAGTGACTGGACGTGGACGAATTGAGAAGGAGAACCAATCGCCTTGAGGATGCCATCGGAGGCCCAGGGTAGCGTGACTCTCTTCTTCCCATGAGTGCGGCCCACGTTGCAGCTGATGTTCTGGTGGAATTCCTGTGAGCACCTGAGGATCGTTGGCGGCCCACTTTCTCAAAGGAAATCCGCCCGCCGTGCAAAGACTCCGTAGTTCCTGCTGAAGGTCGATAGCATCTTCCAAGCTATCGGCGCCGGTGACCACGTCGTCGACGTAGCAGTCGTGTCGCAGTGCCTTGACTCCGCGTGGATATCGTGCCTCTTCGTCTGCTGCGAGTTGATGAAGAGTCCTGATGGCGAGGAAGGGTGCACACGCTAGCCCATAGGTCACGGTCCTCAGCTCGTACTCGTGGACGTCGTCAGAGCTGTTGTGGCGCCACAGGATAGTTTGCAGGCGACAGTCCTCCGGATGCACGAGGATTTGTCGGTACATTTTCTCGATGTCCGTGACGAGCACGTACCGATGCCAACGCCAACGAAGTAGGACGTCAGCGAGTGCTGGCAAGAGATTGGCTCCAGTGAGGAGGTGTGCGTTCAGCGACTCTCCGGACCGTGTGCGCTGGGAGCCGTTGAACACGACCCTGAGCTTCGTGGT